AATTGCTCTTGGCTTCCTGTCATGGTAAAGTCTTTCAATTCCCCACACCCAGGACTCTTCTTGATGATCTCTCGGACCCGCTTTGCTCAGAAGGCACGCGACTCTTGGTTCGATCCCCACAGACGGTGCCAGTGATGGTTTTTGGGTTTTCGGGCCCAAGGAGGTCCAACACAACCTTAAGCTGGAGGATACACCTTTCACAAAAAGTCTAGATCTTTAGTGAAGTATGATGCTCAATAGTGCTTTCTATTTCCCTCTCCGGGTTCTCCAATCTGCCTCTTACAAGGGTGGAGGAGCCCTCTTTATAGTGGCTCCTCCTCTACTGACTTAAAGGCTCATGATGGCCGACTTAAAGATTACATTCAATGCGCCGAGCCGTTGGGCGACGTTACGGACTCTGCCAACGGCTCTCTCTGGCTAGTAACTGGCGGACCGAGTCCGACTTTTAATGCCTCAACGGCTCCTTGCCTTGACTGCTCTGAAGGCTCCCTCAACGGCTTTCCGGACCGAGTCTTCCCCTGGGCCGGGCCTGGACCGACTCCTCGTCCCCGTTTGGCATTGGGCCGTCCTTCCGGGCTCTGAGCTGGGCCCCCCTCTTTGGACCTGGGCCGAGTCCTGGACTCGGCCCATGCATTCTTTCTGGGCCTCTTTTCTTGGGCCGGGGTTCTCACCCCATCAATTATTATTTGAGTAGTAGTTTACTTGTAATCTCTTGATGGTTTAAAACTAGATAAAATTAAATCTCCTTAAAAACAATGTTATTAAATTAACTAAAGACTTTTTTATCAATAACAAGTAACTTCAAACATGATTTCCAACCCAACAATTTAGAACAATTTATAAGCAAACTATTAATATATGCTCGTAGTTATTAAGTTCGAGTTTTGTAATCAGTCAAGTCTCTTAAATAGGGTTTTGTAGGAGGAAAAAGTAGGTAAAATTTTATGGAGAACCATATTAGAGTAAGGCTTTTGGCCTATTGAGATATTTCTTCGCTTTAGTATTATCAAATAAAATAAAGGGGGGTTTAATTTTTGTATAACATTAAATAATCTAGTGATTGGTCCCTAGTTTTCTCTCTCGCATTTCTTTGCGAGCGGTCTTCTTCTCCCTTATGAACGGTATTCTTATGTTATTCGTTTTATGCTATGGATTCTGATAGTGCTATGAAGTCTCTTGCGGATCTGGAGGATGATGATGATGTCTAACAGATTGGTAACGTTCCTCTACGATCGTTGAAAGGGGAGGAGGAATTCTATGCGGTAGGTCGGCTTCTGACGGACAAACCTACCAAATTTTTGTTTTTTCGTAAAATTTTGTCAATTTGATCCTCGAAATGTTTAATTGACAAAATTTTAAATTATTTGAAGATCAAATTAGTTGAAATTGAAAACTAAGAACTACATTGATAATTGAAAACAATTGAGGGACCAAATTAGTGAGTTACTAAAAAAAAAAAAGAATGGTTGCGGGGAAAAAGTTAACCAAACGCGGTGTTGGTAGATTTAACTGTTAACTGCCACTGCTGTACTACACTGTAGATAACTGCGTCTGTTCATCTTGGACTCCAAGTTGAAAGCTGCTGCTGCTTCATCGTCTTTTTACTTTCTGAATCTCAGAAGAAAAGGCGTCACCTTACTACTTTGCTAACGTCACAATGCAAGATCCGTCAAATCCAAAGCCGACAATGAACCAGACGCCGCAATTTTCCTCTGCATTGTGGCCGTCGCACCACCGGAGAGCCCACTCGGAGGTGAATTTCCGTCTGCCGGAGGATCTGGATCTGGCGTCCGACCCCTTCGATGCGGCGCCGGCCGGCAGCTTCGAAGAGATCGGCTCCGAGGACGATCTGTTCTCCACTTTCATGGACATCGAGAAGCTCGGCGCCGGATCCATTGCCGCGGCTGCCGGACTGGACAATGACGACGGCGCCGGAGGGATGGCATCGGAACGGCCGCGCCATCGGCACAGCAACTCGGTGGATAGCTCCAGTTTGCTGCTGAGCGAGAGCGCCATTGAAGCTAAGAAAGCTTTGGCTCCTGAGAAGCTGGCTGAGCTCTGGACCATTGACCCTAAGCGAGCAAAAAGGTAGCTGAGAAGCTTTATTTACTGTGCTGTAATTTCTGCAACTTCGTCTTTTTCACTGCATGTTCTCAATATGAATCGCTGATATACTTTACTAGTTTACTGAAAATCTGGAAATTTAGATTTTAAAACTCATATATGGAGTGGGTGGTAGATCTTCTAGACTTTAATCAATTCAACTTTTCGAGTTTTTGATTTACAAGAGAAACCGTAGTCATTGCTAAATTAGTCTAGATTGTCTAGCCGGCTAAAATAAAAAGTCAATAGGTAGGAGAGTCGAATTTGTATCCGTGTAGTTATCAAATCAATAGTCTGATCGGCACTCAACTTTTGAGTTTTGCCAGAAACTTTTGATGACTTTTCTTTAATTTTCAAGACTGGGCCCAAATGATTTAACCTCGTCTTTCTCATATTAATTTTCACCTGAATTATGAACTCTTCTTAGTCCATTCTGCATAAAACTGTTCATCTGAGATCTGGGTCTTTCTTGAAATGTTCTTGCTGGTTTAGAATATGGTGCTGCAATGATCTTATATTCAACCTCAAGAAATTGCAATTTTTGTCTAGTTATGATCACTCTTTAGTCTTCCCCCCCCCTGCAACTTCCTGGAGTTGGATCATATTCTTGTGATCAGCTTGTCATGCAATAATGCAGTTTGAAATAGTGTTTTGTCGATTTGGAGGTCTATGGTTGTCTGAGATTTTAGGCTTTGTTTAGAATTCTGGCGAATCGGCAGTCTGCAGCTCGATCAAAGGAGAGGAAAGCACGATATATGTCTGAACTCGAGAGAAAAGTTCAGACCCTTCAAACCGAGGCAACCACTCTTTCTGCTCAGCTCACCCTGTTCCAGGTTTGTTGCAGTCTCATCCTTTGCTTCAAAATTCCGACAAAATGGGATGCTATGTATGATAGCGTGAAACCAAATCCAATACAGTCACTCTGTGCAATTATAATATGTTATATGAACTTTATAATGTTTGCCAAGGCATGCTTGGACTGTTTGATAAACCATTCGTTCCATCATGTTTCTGTTCTTGTAATGCAAACTATAGAAGAGAATGCTACTGTGAAATCTTTTATTTTCATGAATTATTTGTTTCTTCTTTGAGCAAAGAAAGCCTCCAAGATCCAATCATTACAATTGGCTCTCCTTTTCTTCCACAGAGGGACACGACAGGGCTTTCAAATGAGAACACCGAGCTTAAGCTTCGTTTGCAAGCCATGGAACAACAAGCTCAGTTGCGTGATGGTATGTGCCCACCAAAACCTGGCTTTTTTACCTGATTTCCTTGCATTTCTGTCTTAGGCTTTTGCGTTTTTTATGACCATTTCTATGCTGTTTTGATTGGTAGTTCTACCATACACTGATGTATGGTTCAAATATCGTATGGTAGCCATCCCGATTCTTGAATCTTGAACATCATTCGTGACAATGATTGACAATTTTGTTGCGTTGTTGTCTGTGCCAAAAACACAGCTTTGAATGAAGCACTGAAGCATGAAGTCGAGAGGCTCAAAGTTGCTACTGGGGACATAACGTCATCTTCAGACCCATACAATCTGGGAATGCAGCACATTCCTTACAATCAGTCTGCATTCTTTTCACAGCAGCCACAGCCCGGGCCAAGCGAGTCCCAGAACATGAAGATGCCACAGTTCCACCCTCTCCAGCCACGCTCATCCGCTCCCCATTACCCAGTCTTGCTGGCTTCCCAGGCGCAAGGCCTCCGGGATACAATGCAGCAGCAGCAGCAGCAGGATCCCCTCGGGCATTTCCAGAGCCTCGACATCAGTAGCAGGGGTTCTCATCTCATGAACTCTGAGGCCAATTCCATACCTGCCAGTGAAAGCAACATTGCGTTGTGAACATAACTTTGTGCAAATGCCCCTCCAACCCTCTCTCTGTTGAATTGTTCATAGACTGACAGGCACCATGTTTAACATCCAGGAAGATAATTCTTCTTCTTCTTCTTCTTCATATTCTTTTGAAATTTGTTTTGGCCTCCTGCAGCTTGAGCAGGATCATTCTCAGTAGCTTCTGGCAATCCTGTTATTCTTTGTTGTTGTGGCAATGGGCTTGGAATTTTATTTATTTAAAATAAATTTTGGTACTTTGGAGTCTCTTTTCAAATTGGTTGTGTAAGGCTTTGTTTCCACTCTAATGTTTCATACTACAAATGCCAATGTTAATCTACCCATTCATTATGTTTCAAATGCTTCAATGTGTTATATGGCCAAAGAGATATTTGTCAAAGTGTTATTTGCTGGCTACGCTCACAAGGGTTTTACATGCTTCTCGCACTTGTAGGTAGTTGTTAAGAGTTTTCTCGTAAATCTAACGGTTGTTTGATTCGCACATGAGAATCGAAATCAAAATGGGTATCAAATACTTGGTAATGATAATGGGTTTTTGTGAAAGTATTTTGTATGTTTGGTAATAGGGTGGAATGAGAATGATTATCAATAATGTTGTTTGGTTATGTATGATCCTATAATGAGAATAAAGATTTTAAAAATATAAGAACACAACATCAAGACAATTGATTCTAATATAAAGACATTCAAAGTTTCAATATGAACAAAAAAATAAAAATAAAAATTTAAAAGCACTATAATTGGGGAGGCGATAGTTAGAGAAGCGGCTGAGAAGAAATAATGGAATAATACCCTTATTTTATTTTTGAATATGGGTTTTTCAATTAAAGAGTATTTGAAAGTTGAAACCGTGTTCTAAAAACTTATCAATCAAATAATACCAATTATATTGATATCCATTTCTTAGAGTTAAACTTGTCGACCAAACACACCCTAAAGAATAATAAAAAAATAAATAAAAATAAAATATCCGAGTCTCCTAGTCGAGGCGGCGAGTCGACTCAGAACCCACAGAGATAAAATACCGTCAACACCTACACAGTCACTCGTTTTGCCGTCTCTCACTTTCTCGACTGCTCGATATATACTAACAGAATCTCGAAGAAGAAGGAAGAGTATACCGGCAATGGCACTTCGAAACCTAGCCACCCGAAAATCCCTTTCCGCCACCGCGCAAGCGTTCCGGCAGCAGCTGCGCAGCTTGCAGACCGCCACGCTTCCTGATCTTTCCTATGACTACGGCGCCCTGGAGCCCGCCATTAGCGGAGAGATCATGCAGCTTCATCACCAGAAGCATCACCAGGCCTACGTCACCAACTACAACAAGGCTCTCGAGCAGCTCCACGAGGCCATCAGCAAGGGCGATGCGTCCGCCGCCGTCAAATTGCAGAGCGCCATCAAGTTCAACGGCGGAGGTCCATCTCTCTCTATCTCCCTCTCTCTCTCTGTATCCGTATATTTGCAGCTGTATCGTTTCAATATCGTTTTAGATTGTGTATCCAGTTGCATCGAACACTGGTTTTCTCGGAGTGAATTAGATGTATTTTGTGCATTTCCGAGTAATTAGGTTTAAATCGGATGGAGGATAAGCTTTTGGATTTTCTAGGAGTGGTTGTGAATATTGCTAAGCCTCTTTGAGCATTGACAGTAGGACATTTTCTATATAAGATGATCAATATTCTTCCAGGAAACGAAGCCAAATGAAATTTCTGTTATCACATTCATTGAGACCCTATGCTTCCACTGTGATTGTTAAATTATGCGTTTTATGGCCGATTACAGTTATTCAAATGTTCATGTTCTAATCTCACTTCCAAACCAACGAGTATTGCACAAATCAACATGCTAATTGCTCCCTAAAGTATTTCAGCATCTTACTAGTTATTGCTGAGGCTCTTTGAGCATTGACAGTAGGCATTTTCTATATCAGATTATTAATATCCATTCAGGAAACGAAGTCAAATGAAATTTATGTTATCCCATTCATTGAGACTCTATGTTTCCACTTTGATTGGTAGATTGTGCATTTTATTGCCGGTTACAGTTATTAAAATGTTCATGTTCTAATCTCACTTCCAAACCGACTACTATTGTACATACTACATAACTTATCAACATGATAATTGCTCCCTACAGCATTTCAGCATCTTACTAGTTATTGCCATACTGCTTGTTTTTGGGTTAACATGGTTTTACTTCCAAAACAGGCCATATAAACCACTCAATTTTCTGGAAGAACCTTGCCCCTATTCGGGTAAGTTAATATCCTCAATACTTTTTGTTCTTATTTGAGGAGGAATTTATATCTGACTGCTAAAATTTTATGACAGGAAGGAGGTGGCGAGCCTCCGAAGAGTTCTTTGGGCTGGGAGATTGACAATCACTTTGGCTCTTTAGATGCTCTGATACAAAAGATGTCTGCAGAAGGTGCTGCTGTACAAGGTTCTGGCTGGGTGGTAAGTCTCAAGTTCGTTTATTTTGAAATTTGTGCTTAGTGAATTAGTGGTTTTATTACAGCTTGTGATGCGTCTGATTCTTTTTTCACCTCTATACATTATTCAAGTCACAATCTCTTGTCTATGCAGTGGCTGGGTTTGGACAAAGAGCTGAAGCATCTTGTGGTTCAAACCACCCCAAATCAGGTATGCACCAAACTAATTGTTTCAAAAGGGAGAGTATGTGGCAGTATGGCCATTTATGTATGTGTATTTATATACAATTCAGAAAATATCTCTATTGAAAATTTATGTATGATTTTTCCTGTTCTGTAATTGATTCTGTATTCCAGGACCCTTTGGTTACTGTAAATCCAAACTTGGTTCCTCTACTGGGCATAGATGTTTGGGAACATGCATACTACTTACAGGTCTTTCCCTTGAACTTCTACAGCCTAATATCTATTTATATATGAAGTACACATTTTGTTTTATGCTGGTACAGGCTTGCCAGTTCTTTCTTTATTTTATCCCCGAAATGCAAATCACATAGTTATCTTCAAAACAATGTTATGCTAGGACGCATGGTAGCATTTTGAACACTTACCTATGTTTTTAGTTTATGACCTTAATTTTGGTAAAGTTAATTCAACTTTGATGGGCACTCTACTTCTATTGACAAATATGTTTTCTTTTTATAATGCAGTACAAGAATGTGAGGCCGGATTACTTGAAGAATATATGGAAAGTTGTGAACTGGAAATATGCATGTGAGGTTTACCAACAATTTACCCCATTGCCTGCAAGCAGAGACTGATCACACCGGGTGATACAACACTCATCAAGGTGCCCAAATTTCTTTAATTCCGTGGGATAAAATAATGCTAAGTTAACTTTGCTTCGGCTTTCTGCTGAAGTGTTGTTGCTTCTGTTTTCTGTGTAATGGTAAATAAATTGTTGTATTTGTGGATTTTGTTGCTTTTAGCACACTGTGATGTGAAACTTATCACTTCAACAGAGTTAAAATCGAAAAATGCAGGAGTTTTTCTGCTAGATTATTGTTTGTGGTCTCTCTAGGATTTAGGCAAGTGATTCGATTCCATGGCTAGCTTTATTCTTCAACAGTGCAACCTTACAAGTTACAAAGTCTTAAGTTATTATTACAAGGCCATACATTCAACTAGCTAGCCAACACCAAAACATGAGTTATATACATACAGGAACCATTCCCCTCTAACCACAAACCTCACACTCATCACCATGAAGAATAGCTAGTCACTGTCTGTGGAGTGAAAATATATAGCTCAGAGCCATGAGACTTAACCTTGGCACTGAAGGATTTCACGGCATTTGCTGAAATGTCTTCGTGCTGCACTTACAAATAGCGAGGATAAGAAACATTGAGGTGCAAGCAGAGATTAGACTTTACTGGGTTCACGTGTTCAAAATGTAGGCCAAATTTGCTCACCTTCCACAAATCTCTTATAGAGACACTGGCTGAGGATTCAAGTCCGATTACATCCCAATGGGCAGTAATAGTTTCATCTTTCGAACATCGATTCCAAAGTGCCACCACCAAACGATTCCCAGACAAAGGTCCTGCCCAAACCTGGATTCAAGAATTAAAACTTCTTTATCAACCAAAACACCATTCTTAGCCATACTATTCCTCTCAAGTTGCCATTTACCACCTCGAAGGAAGGGCATAAGAATTAAACAGTACAAAACTATACCTCCTGGCATCCATCTGCTCCAGAAACTGAAACTTTCCTTCCTTGAACTCCGAGTGGATCTGCAAATGGGCGAAAGACAGGCACAAAACGTCAACAACAATAAAGAATGGTCTCTGGTGAGGAAAGGGGCAAGAAACTCCACTCCACTTCCCTATCACCTAAAGAAAAGAAATAAAGGCGAGGAAGGAGCTGGGTAAGACAAATTTGACCTTGGTCTACGGCAATAACCTCCGTATTGCTGAGAATCTCAAATGTTTCGGCAGTCATGTTCCTTACATCACAACCAATTATAAGCGGAGCCTGCATAACCAGATGGTAATAATCTAAGTTCATCAAGTAACTCTAATCGGATTGATGCTCCTTTTTCAAAAGCTAGCCAGTTTACATCTATATCTGTTCCTTCCATCATGATTCTTATTCAAATTCATCCATTGCATTGTAAAATAGTTACCCCTGGCCAGATAAAGAATTAGTTTTCAAAAACATTGCATTGTAAAACAGTTACCAGATAAAGAATTAGTTTTCCAAAAATATTAAGAGTGGTACCACTATTGCTAAATTAAACAGCCAAACAAAACAAACACAGAATATCACAACTTTTTGAGTTGGGGAATACCTTCATCAACGCCCAAATGCTAAAATGTGCTCGGTACTCCTCATAAGTCATGCCCCCATTGCCAACCTCTAACATATCAGGATCTGCAAGAAATCCAAAGATTCAAAACTCAGATCCTAAATAACCATTATATCTTTATAAAATTTACAGATGTAAGCTCATCTCTCTACCATTCCACCCGCCAGGACCAGCATATTCTGCCCACTTATTGTTGATATCAGCAATCGCTGTCATGCTAAACACAACACATGATGAAGCTCAATCAATATACTTATATGTCAAGTAAGCTATAAAGGGTAAAGACTAAAAGTGCAAGCAAATTTGACGCTTAAAATCCAGCAAACTAGCTAGGATACCCGTGTCTATCTAGAACACGGTCTATATAACATCACAGCACTAAAGAGTACTCTCTACTGCAATAAGAGACAAAGATCCCAAGAATTTAGAACCTTTCCCATGTATCTTCGATGTCCTCTGTATTACGCCAGCTATTTCCAACCCCGTTTGCCCATAATGCAGGATCATCAACACCCCTGTCAAATTTAAGGAAAAAGAAAAAAAAAAAATCAATGTGTTTCCAAGGTCCTGGTTAGTGCCCCTATTACAAACGTAGCTATTGAGGTAAACTGGAATTTACCAATCGCAAAGTGCATAGAATACTGCGCGTCCACTAGCATTTAGGGCATCACGCATTGGCGGGTATCTGGGAATAATCAATCAAACCATTCTTGTCAGCATACCGAGTCAAAGGTAAATTCACTAAATTTAAAACTCAATGGACAAGAACATACCTTTCCTTTGGGTCAATGCCGAGATTGTAACAATTGTCATATTTCAAGTAATCAACACCCTGAGTAATGAAATAAATCAAAATAATATGAAATGCTGATAAGCAACCGTGAAAGAGAAAAATCTACATAGTAAATTAACTCAATTAGAGTTCCAGGGATACACCGGGAAATTGATGCTGTCCATTTTGGTTGCAGCACAACCGAATAAGATTTCTTAATAAAGAAACATAAACTAACCCAAGATGCCCAAAGTGCTGCATCATCATTCTCATGATATAGTGATCCAGCTCGAACTTGACAAGTAAAAATCCTGCAAGGTTTGGTTTGGTAAATTAATTCTAGAAGATGATACAGCTGAACCACAGCTTTATGCTAGTGAATAATGTAAAAAGCGTTTGAAATGGTATAACAGAAGATTCTGATCATTTGCCGAGACATTTGCCTTACCCAGCATCCGAATAGATACCAAGTTTGAGTCCCTTTGCATGGACATAATCTGCAAGAGCTTTAATTCCAGATGGAAAAGATTTTGGATCGTTAACCAATTCACCCTGCAGAACCAGTAACCAAAAAATGAGATTCTTCATCTCAAACAAATTACCGACTAAACTTAAAAATTTACATCCACGAGAAAGTTGGTATCTGATCAACTGACCTTCGAATTCCTCAACGGAGTAGACCAACAATCATCTGTCAAGGAGATTAGTCAATCAGAGTGTTAGTCTCAACTGATATACAAGTAAACATGCACGAGAAGTATTTCAGAAGCTCACCAATGTTGACATATGTATAACCCAAGCTCGCCAAACCAGATGAGATGAGCGCATCAGCTGTTAAATAGTGATTAAGCATGAAATTAAAAAATAACAAATAAAATAAGTGAACAGACTGTAACCTGAATTTCAGAACATCATATCATAAATATTGGATGAAATTTCTCAGGTGCTCTTTGACACCCTCACATCTCCAGAAAGAACACAGCACTATACAGTTTCCAAGTAACGAATTCAACTTATACAACTAATAGTTCATCACAAACCAAGACTTCTTCACAGCTAAGTCATGTATTTTTGGTTTTCCACACCATTTTACTGGTCAATCAATAATCTATTAATAGCCCACAAGGACAACTATCAATAGCCCGCACGAACAACTCAATTGATTTATGGTTGGTAGATGATGGGCAAGGATACATGAGCCTTCCTGGGTTGTAGATTATGAGCAAGGGCACATGATCCAACCCCGTCAGCCACAGTGTGGAGTTACAACCAATATGGTGGACTCCTTGTGGGCACCAAGTGTGGTTCTCCTACCTAATGGGCTGCTGAGTTGCATTTAGCACTCCACTATCCTATCGGGTTAGGGTGTAGGCCTTGGGGTTGAGGAAATTTGCAGTTAATCCGATTTTTTAGTATTATTAACTCTATTACAAGGTAGTATCTATTCTATACTTTTTCTATCTGTTGTTGCAACTCAAAGAGTCAATACCCTACCACCGGGGTTCGATCCTGTGACCTTCTAGTAGAGGCACATAGGTGCTATCTGAGCAAATTTGCAGTTAATCTATTGGTATCACAACCAACACTAAAATGAGAGTTCCATCTCATCTCTGTGGGTTTCAGGAAGAAAAAAAAAATTGTCAAAATAAAGCCAAAGCATTACCCGTTTCTCTTATGATTGTCTCGTTAATTTCGCAGGCAAATAGGTTCCAGCTGCTCCATCTGCCCCAAAAACACAACCCAAAGTCAAAATTTCTGAATTATGAATAAAATCACCAACAACAAGCCATACCCAGAACTCGAATTTCACAAGAAAACATAAAACCGGCTAACTTAAATCAACTATATACAGCTTACAGGTAAACGCTAATCGATGAAATAGTCGAAAACAACTGCCCCCATTTGAGGAGGAGTTGAAAATAAGAAGAGAAGGGGATTGAAAATAGATTACATACCCCATTTGAGGAGTCCGAGCCAAGCCATTGTTGAGCTGAAGAATACCGTACTTGGAAGTATCATAGACATTGGGGTTAATAGTGGGGTTTCTCCCTCCTTGGATCAGCTGAAATGGATGAAGTGGCAGCTGCGTTTCTGCGACAGTCCATGAAATCGCCCACAGAAGCAGTGCAATGGAGAAGACGCCAGCGCTCATCTTTGATCAGAGAAGTGTGGTAGTTGATGGGAGCTGACTATTCCGAAGAATGAAGAAGAGTTTAGAAGCAACAATTATATCATCTCTTCAATGCATCACATCTTTTCATCATATATAATATACTTCTACACATTAATTGAACTATCAAACAAAAAAGTATACAATGACTCTGTTTACCAGAGTTTATTTAGGAGATTATAGCTTTTTAAGCTATTAATAAGCTATAAGTCATGTTTGGTAATGTTTTCAAAATAAGCTCCTAACTTAAAATAAGAGTTTATTTTAGAACGCTAGCGTTTCAAAATAAGCTCCTAGCTTCTTAATTTTTTTTTTTTGTCATCTTTATCCTTATTATTTTAAAGAAATGACATAATTTACCCTTCCCATTAAAACTCTTTTCTTTTATCCTTTATCTGAAACTTTCACCACAAATATTATTATTATTATTATTATTATTATTATTATTATTAGATTTGCAACAATATTGCTATTTCATTATGATATGCTAGCTCATGATTATAATAGTTTTATTTCAAAATGTTAATTTTTTAAGACAAAATGTTGAATTTTAATATTTAACAAACTAACTTAAATTTTATGAAGATGTCCTTTTTAGTCATTTTACATTTATCAGCTTATCAAAAAGCTAATTTTACCAAACATTTTCAATCATAACAGCTAGCTTAACAGCTCTTCAGTTTTCAGCTCCGAGCTTATAGCTTTTCAGCTTTCAACTCCTTTTCAGCTTTCAGCTCCTAGCTTATAACTTTTCAGCTAGGTTTGCCAAACAGAGCCAATTAAAACATTAAAAATTCAAAAATTGTATAAATAACATTTTTACATGTTACTTTCAAGCTTCCCTTAAATTTGATGTTGTCAAATTATATATACAAAATTACTTTAATTATTTTTTTTAAAAAAAAAAAATAATTTGTTTTAAAATTTCATAATCAAAAGATTATGAGGTGAGAGTTGTTTTCCTTGGGCTAGCAATCTCAGCAAGGTGCGGAGAAAATGAGTAAATGCATGTAATCATTCATACTTTTCTTTGCAGTAGAAGGTGGTTTAAAGATGGCTGATTATATCACTTTTTCCCTTAAATTTTTGTTTTTATATGCTGTCAATAAATAGGAACTTCAAATGCAGAAATTTCAACAGTTTTTGTGCTTTGCATGCTAAATACGGAGTATTAAATTAAATTGTCTAATCCAGAAATACTATTTGCTTCTAAAACTTTCGTGCTAAGACTACAGTTTTTGTTTTTGTTCTTCACCCCCTGTTTTCCACTATTAGGTTTATACAAATATTGAAGGCAACAGATCTCATGTAGTACATACCGCATGGGCTATGCTGTCTTATTTTTTTTATTTTTTATTTTATTATATATATACCGGTCGCCGTCTCTCCCCATCGCGTCTGTTTGTGCATTTTCAATCTTCCGTTCGTTACCGCCGACTACGAACCGCGACCACGAACTAGGGTACAGCCGTACAGGAGACCACGAACCGGAGGTCGTCACTACCCACCGCGAACCAGAGGCCGCCACCACCAACTGCGAACCAGAAGCCGCCGCCGCCTACCGCAGTGAACCAGCGACTGTTTGTTTATTGCTTTTCTAGTCTAATCTAAAAACATAATAAGTGTGAATGAAAGTTATACCCCTGATTTATGTCTGTTTTTTTTCGTTCAGTTTTTTTGTACATTATGCTATAAAGATTGTACATTAAAATATTTTGGACAAACATACCCCTATCGTTATAACTTCCGTTATCGTTTCCACTATTGTTATCATGCACATGCATCCACCATATATTTTTTTATCTTCTTCATTAATAATAATATATAAACATTGTATATTTGAGTTATATGTTAATTATTACATAAAATATAAGTATCAAAATTATAAAAATGATTTACATTATTATTATTATTATTATTATTATTATTATTATTATTATTATTTAGAATAATTTAAATATCTAAAATCTAAATAAATTTAAAATTGTAATATAATGTATTAATATTGGGCACCTATTTTTTGCGCATCGCGCATAAAAAAATACTAGTATATATATATATATATATATATATATATATATATATATATATATATATATATATTCTAGTGTGATTGGCAGCCCCAGGTGCGGTTGTGCAGTGAGAGGAGAGCCATTGATTTTGTTTAAATCAATGTCCAGGATTTTTTTTTTTTTTTTTTTTTTAAAACGGTGGCAATTTGATAATTTTTGCAACTAGGTCAGATTTAAGGTGCGTGAGTTTTGTGCTTAAGATGCGTGAGTATTGTGCTTAAGTTGCGAGAGTTTTGTGCTTAAGGTGCGTGTGTTTTGTACTTAATGTGAGTAGTTGTTAAAACTTAAGGTGCGTGAGTTTTGCGCTTAAGGTGTGTGAGTTTGTACTTAAGGTGCGTCATGTTTCTTCTTTACGCACTCTTCTCTATGAGTCACGGGTAGTTCAGACCTTCAAGAAGAACAAAACTTTTGAACCGAGGGGTAGTTCATACCAGAAAAAGAACAAAATTTTTGAACTAAGGGGTGGTTCATACCCTCAAGAACAAAACTTAACGTGCGTCATTTTAACACTTAAGGTGCGTGAGTTTTGTGCTTAAGGTGCGTCTTGTTTTGTCTTTGCGCACCATTCTCTATGAGTCACGAGTAGTTCAGACCCTCAAGAAGAACAAAACTTTTGAACTGAGGGGTGAACCGACCCACAAGAAGAACAAAACTTTTGAACTGAGGGGTGGTTCAGACCCTCAAGAACAAAACTTAACGTGCGACATTTTAACACTTAAGGTGCATTGTTATAACATTTAAGGTGCGTTGTTCTAATACTTAAGGTTCTTAATGTACGCCATTTTCAGCTCATTTCTTCGAGACACGTGTTTTTTTTCTTTTTTTTTAATTTTCATTAATTTGAGCCGTTGATTTAGATTTTAATGCTTAAGGTGCGTCAACCGCATAATCGCACGGGATATATATATTGACATTATCATCTCATATTTAAGGGAAATTTGAAAGTGACCTTTAAAAAATACTATTTAATAATTTTTAAATTTTTAATAGTCTAATTACACATTTTTTTGTTCAATGATTCAATTGCACATTGATTATAATTTATAAAGCGATCATCATGATGCTTGAGTAATGGATAACACATGTAACAAGCAACCTTAGCTAATTTGATACTCGCCTAATCCTAAAATAGTTGTCTAAGTACTCAAATTACTCTAAATTATGTTTTCCTTTTAATAATTATAATCTCCATGTGTTGATAATATGAATCTTCACCCGCCACCCCTCAGCTCCAATCGTCGTTTTCCTCGAGAGCAGGGTCTGGGTCTTTGTCAGCAATTACATCACTACTTAATTATTTGAACAGGGAATCTTCCAGATATTCTCCATGGGATCCCTATGAAGAAATGTACAGTTATCAAAACAAATTTTATTTAATTTGTTTTTTTTCATGAGCTCAATTCAATCTTATATAATTAACCTGTTTTTCATGAACATGGATCGAAAATTTTCCATCTTGAGAAATCTCGTGTTGAAATAGCATAGCCCGTTCAACCAACTGTAAATTATATTGTACAAATTGAAAGGTAAACTTCTGATACGGGGTAATTTTTAGTATACTACAAAAGTTTTTAAGGTAAAACACAAAAATGAGCATGTTTCACATATAACGAACCTATTAAAAAAAAAAAAAGAACATGTAATAATATAATAAACATAAATATATATGTTAGCAATCCACCTTACAATGTGGACTATTGTACATAATATAATGATTTTAGTGATTGACCAATAACTTAAAATCGTTTTTCTGTGGAACCGTGTCCACCTTACAATGTGGACACGGTTCTATGTTCATAATTATTGAACTATATGTTCATAATTATAAAGCTATATATTTATAATTTTTGAACTTCATATTCATAATTATTGAACTCTATATTCAGAATTACAGAACTCTATATTCATAATTATTGAACTATATGTTCATAATTATAAAGTTATATATTCATAATTTTTGAACTTCATATTCACAATTATTGAATCTCTATATTCATAATTACAGAACTATAGATTCATAATTATGTTCACAACTCTATATTCAGAATTTTTGAACTATATATTCATAAGTATGAACAGTTTTAAAACCGTGTTCACCTTACAAGGTGGACACGATCCCACAACATAAGGCAAATTATATTATGCACCGCGGTGCATAATCGATTATGCACCGCGCGTCTTTTTTTAAAAATGAAAATAAACAGTGTTTGTTTCCGCCGTTTCGCACCCTTTTGCAAAAAGTAACTCTGTTATTCAGTGTCATTTTGTATACACTGCAGTTTCAGTTTAACACAACTACAGTTTCATTTCGATATAACTATAGTTTCATTCGATATTTATAGACTCAAATATGTGAAAATGTTATTTAATTTTATTTATATACACTATAGTTTCATTAAAACACAACTACATGATCATTTTGATATAATTACAGCTTCATTGTACAATATACACTAAAATATGTGAAATGTTATTCAGTTTCATTTTATATACACTGCAGTTTCATTTCATTATAACTACAATATCATTTTGATATAACTACAGTGTCGATTTAGATATACTATAGTGTCAGTTGGTGTTTAATACACCAAACAAGCGGACTCCGTTAACTCTAACGGCGGGCCATTTCGTTACTTAAAGAAACGGTGCCGTTTTTTAACGCGGTGTATAAGCACCGCGGTCTATAATATAACGACTAACAACATAATTTGCCAACAACTTAGCATACTTTTATGTTGGCCCATTATAGGGTAATCCAAATAGAGTTACATTGTCCAAATTATGTACTTGCACTTTACATATAATGTACATTCAATTAATAGATCATGATATGTTAATTACATGTACATAGTTCGAATGATTTGCGCTATGCAAAGTATAGACCAATTACAAATGGGGTTGGTTCATATGAAAGACAAATTATTATGTGGATCCGAATTCAAAATACACAATTTATATAATGAACTTTCACAATTATATACTGAATGTTCACAATT